ATGGTAACATTAGTTGTTAGCAATATACTTCACGCTATCGTCAACTTCTGTACATTCTTTAACATAATAAAACTATCGCCAATCCGCGGTATAATTAAAGGTTATCGTATAATCGACCGAAAAAGATCGGTCCTATGCATACACGGTTGCTGTGTATGTTATCCCTTGGGTCTCATGGTACCTGTTCGGCAGAGATTTAAGACGATTGGGAGCCATCCACAGATGGATTGACATTCATGTGTACATGAGATAAGCTCTTGTAATGTTTAGGAACCACCTATTCGGGTCGTGTCCTTTGAGCTTAGATGAAAAAATAGTAAGTGAACCTCACAGGAATACTCACCAACCGACACCTATGATTATGGTGCCCTGCTTGAGTGACGCCAGCCGAGGTATGTATGCTACTGTGGAGAGACGCAGGCTTATTGTTACGTACCGAAAGGTATGCTCTTATATATAGTAAAAACTGCACAGCAAACAGGCCCGTTTAGACAGGTTCTATCTTGCCTGGAGCCGAAGGACTATTACTGTTTTCTCGAGCCTGTTTACAGATACTACCATCGACGGTACGAGTTTACCATATTATAGCTGGCCCAAGGACCTGTCTGACAAAGTAACTTATGTACAGTCGTGGGTGTATACTAGAGTTGCATTCCCGTGACAATCCTTTGTGGAAAGCAATGGAATGGCTGGGGATATCTATTGTGCGTAACTGACTAGCACATTAAGAGAACCAACTAAGTAGCATGCGTGCTCCTGCTTGTAAGCCACTAACCGCGTGCAAAGGCTTTTGTTTAGAAAGGCGCATGCTATGAGTAATCGCATTAACGCTATCTCAAGTCCATGAGACGCCGGTGCTCGCGCTGTATACTACTAAACGAATGTATGTAGTTAGCTAGCTGGTTGTTACGATTTCTTGTAACGATCGAGTCGGTGAGTGCCTGTTACTAGGTACCAGCTTGTGCTTGGTTCAACTATTTTGACTGAGTTTAGGCTCTTTCCAATAGTGCTTGCTACTATAGTACATAGCGAGGTGTATAGTATAGGTACTTAATAGAATAGTGTTAGTTACTAGTATGTATATACCTAAGCGCGGCGAGCCCCTTCTCTGTCACGAGCACTTGTACGATTAGTAGCCTAATGGGCACAAAGCAATCTCTTTCTACTAGTTATGTAATAATTCTGCGAAAGTACTGAGAATAGCCAAAGGTCGAAGCACGGAAAAAGCATAATGCTACCATCCATAGCTCCAAGTTGTTACGATATTATTTACGAGGAACGCCAACCATGAGTCATTACTTTGAGCATCACTGTTTCAGCTTTTTAATTAATATGATTTTTTCTTCATGACTTGTGTTTGTTGCACAAAAAAAGCTTATCTTAGTGCATAACGAAAAGAAAGTGTGCCATTATTTTTATTAATATTCTTTGACCACTTTTTAGCTAGGCTGAAAGCACTTTAATGGAATGCAAACAATAAAGTTAAGCACCACTTGATATAGGCTTATGTATGCACGAACCCACCAGGATACTATTAACTTAGCCACTCTTCAGTCAATTAGAATGGATCTACCTTATTACTTAGATAACCTAAATGCGTACATACAGCTAATAAGTTAACAACGGTTTAATGACCAGTTCACAAGCATAAGGCCTCGAAAGAATCTACAGCCAAATTTTGTGGAAGCAAGGCGGGTCGTGGACAACGATTACTTAACCTGCATAACTCAAAAGGTAAGATAGAACTTTCCATAGGTCTATTGACAGCTAAAGTTTTTAACGCCAATAAGTGCCGTTCTTCCGAACCATGCGTAAATTACTACCTAGGTCTCTTCGTGGTTTATGAATACCCTTATTTCTAAAAGTTAGTTCACGATTATCGTATCCGGCAACTAGTCTGTGGTCTGTGGAAGAATTCCAGTGACAGATAGCCTACTTTGATTGTTCAACGCAAAACCAAAGAAGCATTGGTTTCTAACTAAAAAAAACAAGAGCCCTACGCTTTGTTAGACAACCCCCCCGGTGGGGACTCTAAGCCGATCAACGTACATGGGAACTCAAAAGGCGAGTTCAGCATTGGAGGCTACCGCTTAGATGTAGGCTGAATTTTACTATATGTAAGAGAGTAATCCTTACCACCAATTAAAAAATAAAGAGCATAACAGAGATCATTATTCAGAATAACCCAATAAGAAAATTAATGAAAACGAGTAATAGAGTAAACGATTAGCAAAAGGTTATTAGAAAGAGCACACTATTATTTAGAAAAGGATTTCTAAGTTAAACTGTGAACATATAACTACAAGGCTACGTTATCGAGGCTTCAGTCCTTTGGTGTTGGCGCAATCTAACTTTATTAAAAATTTTTCTTGCTTTCTCTTTCAGTGCTATATTAGTGACGCTACAGCTAATTACTAAGAACTTCGCGTACTAGAGCTAGAAATAAAATATGACAAAAGATGGAAATCTGTTAAAAATAGCTCTATGTGGATATAGGCAAATAGAAAACTAAAGGATTCATAACCTTCATGGACTTTAGTAAACTTCGAGATAACTGTATAGATCTTTCAACCAATTTGTTACTGCTCGGAAAGAAGCACTAGATCACTAGATAGCACGAAGGAGATTCCACAAGAAGCTCGTTAGTTTAGTGTTTCATAGATAATAGTATGTAAGTTTTATTTTCGCAAAAATAGTTTATTTTTAGGGAAAGAAACCTGGTATATAGCAAGGGGAAGCTACTTTAAGGGCTTACTAGCGATAGAGACCGTCTCATGTAATAAAAATATTTATATTTTTCTTCAAGGAGGAATTGAACCTCCAATCAATTTGTTATGAACAAAAGTTTGGTAAAAGAGTCTAGAATATAACTAGGATAAAACACAAGTTAGTTTAAGGTTATCAGCTTCTTCCTTGCTTGTATTCCTTGTTAGATGATCTGGCTTTCGACCACCCCTTTGTTGAAGTACTTTTCGCTTGAAGTTAGTACTCGTTTTAACCTTCCTACTGGTATGTAAGAAAATTAGAAGGTATGAACTAAATAGCTTAGTTTGTTGGATTGGTAACTTGTTACTTACAAAGATATTACTTTAGTAGAAATAAATAACTAACTAAACTCTAGAAATGTTAACCCAGAGTAGTACGAAAAATTACCCTAGTTAGGGAGGAAAAAATAATTAAAATAGTTATGCTTCCCCTCTTTTTGCATTGCCTTGTAGATTCCGAAGTCTCAAGATATTTCTTATGATAAAGTTAAAGTAGTAGTACTTGGCATACTTTTAGAAGTATCACCAACTTTCTTATGAAAGGTTTTGCAGTCTAATATATTTTTCTTTTATCTATCTTGTAGGCTAAAAATTAACCAAATAAATAATGTTTTTCAAATTTCCGCAACACAATATAAAATAAATAAAATGTTTAAACGATACCAATTGCAGCAGCGACTATTAAGCTTGCAAAAAAAGTAAGCGTTTACTTAAAAATTTACTATGATGGGTACGTCAAGTAATGCTTGGGAGACATATTTTATTAGTAAAAGTTATTTTATAATTTGATGCATTCTTGTTTTATAGTGACAGAGGTTTAGCTATACAATTTAAATAATATTTCAGAGTAGTAAAGCGCCATGCTAAATTAGTGTCTTTGCATAGCTTTCTTCTTGTTTGCCTTTTCGAGAGCTTAATATATCTAATCTCTTATAAAAAATTTACTTTTAGCTCGAGTCTTCTTTAATTTAAAAATAAAAACTACCTACAATAAAAATATATAGCTAGAAAATAAAAGTCTTTAATGCTTTATTGACAGATAATAATTACATTCAGACGGGGCCGCCGCTATAAATGCCACCACCTTTATTGTAAAGTACACTTACATCTTCGGCTTTCTGTTGATTATACTTCTTTGTTCTTACAATAGTATTTAGCTTTATGACTTATTAGAGTAGATTCGTTAGGCATAAGTAAAAAAATCTCGCTAAAAATTAATTCTGCAGTCTTTCTCTAAAGAATCTTGGACAACAGTATATTACATTATATCTTTAGAAAATTATTCAGACCTCTTTGCCCTTCAGTTCAGGGCGGACTTTGTTAGAACTAGTAAAGGTAAACTATCTATTCATTGAGGTGGAGACTCCAACTCACTTAGAAGTTAAAAATATTCTATCTCTCATTTAAGTAAGATTAAATTAGGGACCTTAAAAGAAACTATAAAAGTCAAAAGACTCAACTTTTGCAAATAAATCACACTTATAACAGGTATAAGTATTAATGAGTAAGAAAATAGAAAATACTAAAAGATTAAAACACTTTACTAAAAAGCTAACTGGGTTGAGGTTGTACGTTTAAAAATAAATTAACTAAAACAATCAAAGCTTTGCTACCAAGCAAAGTTCAAATAGATTTAAAATCCATTTAATGAGAGAATCATCTTTATTCATTTGTTATGCAATATTAACCAAAAATTAATTCAAGTTTTTCTTTTTTAGAAACAGCTAGCGTTGAGCATGGTTGGTAACTGTTCTAACAAGTAACCTGAGCATGACAAACCAAACTTTTTTTAGGAAATAAATTATAGTAAAAAGCCATATTAAGAATATATAAATTGCTTTTACCAATAACTAAACGCTTAATAGTCCAACCATTTGCGTTTACTTTACCCTCAAAGTTTTTTTTTTTCTCAATTTGAGTTTTATTATTGCTTTTTGGTTGCGCTTATGATATATGTATATATCGGTTTTTAATAAAATAGTTATTAACTATAATAACTCTGTTGCTATCTTTTTATTATTTTTATAAAATACTATAAGAATTAGGTTTATTTTTTATTTTTAATAATTTACTTATCCTGGCGCTCATTTTTTTAATAATTTTTTTTAGTATAACCGGGATCTTCCTGGCTTAAATTTTTTTTATATATATATATAACTAATATTGAATATATATATAATATATAGATTTAAAATACGGTCATTGCTCTTCCTTATCTTTCTTTCATAATTAATAGATTTTTGTCATGTCTGAAGCTCAGATAACCAAACTAAAAGAAGAAACTAAACAGTTTATGATATAGATTTATTTATATTATGTCATCTTTTCGTGAATATTACTAGTAAGTAAATCCATTATGAGGCTTTCTACCATTATATTCTTTTCTAGGTTGCAAGCAGAGCTTGAATTACCACGAATATTAACTTCTACTGCCTGCTCAGATCTTATAAAGTATTGCCAAGAAAAACTTCCTTGTAGGTTATTTAATTTTTTTAATTATTATTGTTAACTTTATATTTATTTTAGTGGATCCTCTTGCTTCGCACTGCTTCGATAAGACTAATTACGACACGAAAAAAGCGCCTTGTACACTTATATGAAAGTTTTTTAACTTTTGTTTAAAGAAACAAAAAAAAAAAATTTAAACTACAATTCAGTATTGAGTTAAATAGCTATTTAACTGTATAGTGAATCAATGGATAATAAAGTTTATTATTACCTTTAACAAATATTTATACTTTTATCTATAAAGTAGTGCACAGTTTAGAGCAAACTTAAAAATTTTACATCATTTTTTTGTGAGCATACAAATCTAACTAAAAATAAGTCTCAGAAAAAGGAAAGTACTAATTACGTGAAAATAATAAAAACTTTTTAAAGTAAATAAACAAGTTTACCTTTTTTATATAAAAGTTAAATCAAGGTATATACTATGATTTGTTTTGACTTGACAAAATTTATTTAGTTTATGAACTTAAAATTGTATTCGATCTTGAAATTTACTGAACTAAAAAAGGCTTCTACTCAACAACTAAAAAAAAAATTAATAATAAGCTTTAGAATAATGCTTAAAGTCTAAATTAAATTATAGTTTTAATAAAAAAATTTATGACATATCGAATTGACACTTGAATTCTTAAAAGTATTAATTGAATGTAAAAACGTTAAATTTAAAATTGCTACTAAACTCCTTTAATAAAGAAATATTGGCTTCTTTGCACTGTTTCATAAAAACTAGTAAATGCTTTTTAATTTTTGATAGTTTACGAAAAAAAAATTTTAATTTAAAATATTTTTTGCTCTACTTCTTCCCGCTCGAATTTTGTTCATTTTGTAAAATTTTTTGGAGACATTTTAAACTTTGCAAAACGTATTCGGTACATAAAATGTATTAATACAACCTTTATGAAAGATTTCAAAAATATCTGCGGTTCAAGTTAATTTTAATTAAGTATATTTAAATCTGTTTTATTCTTATTTCTATAAAAACCATTTCAAGGTATTTCTTGCTGGACGCTAAATAAAAGTTAGTATAAAATTAGTACTTCAAAAAACTTTTTTAATTAAATCAGTTTATTGGCAAAAATGAGTTTTTATGAAAAAAAAAATTTGCAACAAGTTGTGCAGGTGGAAGCTGTCCATAATTTACGGGTGAATGATAAGTAAAAGTTCTGATAAACTTTTGGACTGTTTGTTACTTGCTTGGCATTCTTCAAAAATTACGCTAAAAAGTAATTCTTTGCACTTTAATGCGTACGCTACGTATAAGCTTATATTTTTTATTTATTTAAAGCATTGGCAAAGAACAGTCCAGATGTACCAAAAAAAAATTAATCTGCATAATCTCCCAAGTTATGCTTGCTTTTAATAATTTTATTTACTTTTAATTTTTGTAAAATAATTAATAGGCGCATTACTTTTCCAACTGCTAAAATACGTCAAGAAAAAATGAAAACTTAGCAGCTCTGCTCAAGTTAACTAACAGCAATCACTTTGATAACAATATAATTAGAACAGTCGCTAAAATAGGACAACTTCCTTTTAGAAAAATAAATTTAGGTCTTCTTTATCTGCGGATAATCGTATGATGATACACCGGTGCACTTATATCATTAGAAAAACTTATTTCTCCGCTATAAATTATTCAAGAAATTAAACTTAAGGTAAAGTTAATTCCTTATTTAAGTAGAAAGTATAAAAATTATAAAATTTTGAGCTAAAAATTTAATTCCCAGTAACTAATAGTTTTATATAATAAAACTGTTATATAAGTAAAATTCATAGTTATGCGGATGCTCGATAAGCTTAAGAGAAAACTGCTTAGTTTCGTTAATAATTTAAAGTGTATCGCTTAGTTTGTATTCACTTTCCCTATATCTTCTCTTCAATATATATATGTTCCGAGGTAATTTTGTTTTTTAATTATTGTTTTGACACATTATTGTCATTATGCCTGCTACAACTTATATTGTTTTATTTGAATTCTTTAATAGAACTAAGGGTATGTAATGCACCAGAATTTATACGCACTATAATATAGAAGGTAAAGGGCAGGTGGTCATACGCAATAAATTTGTAATTCCTTATATTAGAGGTTGTAGGTATGTGAATATACTCAAAGAATTTACATTTCCTTAAAATAGAGAGGATGTAGACCTGCGGATATACGCAGCGGGTATGAGAGGTACACAAACAGTTGAGAATAATTAGCAGAAGAGGCCAGATGTAACAACTGGCGACGTTGACGAATAAGGTTTTAAAAAATAATCCGGTAGGCTATACGAAACTTTGCCTTGGTTCTCTAGACCTGTAAGTAAACCCTCAAAGGTAACAACTGCCTCTATTAGTAGAAAAATCGGAGGACACTACGACGTGCAGGTAATTTATGAGAGCTCACTCAATTCTACGATCGGAGCCAACTTTGAAACAAATTTAAGAACGATGAGCCCGAGCACGCTCGAATTTTTCGTTTTTACTATGTGCGTTGGATTATCCAAAAAATTTTATTGTATATATTAATTAATTTTAATGTCATAATTCTTTCTGTTGCGGTCTTGTATAATTAGCTATCGTAAGAAGAAAGTTTAATGTTGAGTGCTTTCCCCATTTTGAAAATTTATATATCGCTCTACTTGGCTGAAATAAAACGTAAACATACATTCATGAACGACTAACACACTTATCCATTTGTTCAATAAAAAAAAGAGAAAGACTAAGAAGGACTAAATCGCTCTTCACCATTCTTTAATATAATAACTATTTAGTGTAAAGAAAGCAACGACTTAAATAGCTGGTTTTCCTTGCTGACCAGGCTAATGCTTTCGCTGGAAGCAAGAGAGTGCCTTCCATAAATTTATAGTATAATTTTTTATTACTATTTTTGCTAAACTTTAATATTTGAGCAAAAAAAGTCTCTGAATTAAAATTTTCTTATTAGAAGAGTATTGTATTATGCGCGTTCATATCCATTTAAGTTAAAAAACTCAAACTATTTTTAGAAAGTAATGTATCTTGTGGTTAATAGTGGACATTATGGTAAAGTTTTTTTTTAAAGTGTATTTTTTCACATAAGTACTGGTTCCATAACATTATTGCGTTAATTTATATTTATACATTTTCGTTCAAGATTATTTTTAGGACTTACCGCTGGGAAAGAACAACTTTTTTTTCCGTAAAATCCTGCGTGGGGCGCGGGACGTTTTTTCCTTCATGGCGATTTGCAAAGCTCCTATCGAGCCCGCCTCTTTAAAAAAGGATTACGGGAGTAAATGGAGGGTTACTTTTACCTTTTACTCTTTATTTCACTTTTACTTTTTATTATAATTCTTTAATAAACTTAGTTCTCTTCTTTGGCTAGTTTAATAATATTATTACAATGCAATTATTACTTATTTGTTAATTTACTATACTCCATTAAAAAAAAAAGGTTGTTAAAAAGACAGAGGTTTATAAAGGTTTACCAAAAGATTCTCCTTACTTAAACAGTTTAAAAACAGGTCTTAACTTAAAAAGTATTAGAAATTTTATAAAGTTATCGTATACGAGCAGGTGAACCTGTTAAAGAGGAATGCGAAGATGAGTTTGTCATTGTACCGAAGGAATTACCTGATTCTTTGGATTATTTTATAAACAATGAGAATGTAGAAAATTATTTTTTTTTGGTTGTAACTTTAAGTCCTTGGGTATTATTTGGGAAAGGTTACTATCATTCGTCAGTTTTGCATTTAGAAAACTTTGTTTAAAACTTAATTAGCCTCGAAGCGCGAGCCATATCGTGTTTTATTTAAATCGGCCGTTTATCCTAGTCTTGATGATCAGAAATATAGAATTGTAGCGCAAGCGGTTTCACTTTTGGAAATAATAAAAGTACTTGCTCTATATGAAAATCTTTAAGTAAAGTTTATTTTTTTAGGGCAACAATTTTAGTTCTTTTTAAACCTTATAGCTTTAATTAATTATAAGGACTACGATTTTTTGACTCGAAGTCTCAGCCCAATATTAAAAGCAGATCCTTGTTTGGGTAACGTTGTACTAATATTATTGGCCCTTTTACGTATCTATAATATTTTTAGGTCAAAACTTAAAACACATGCTTTTAAAGTTAACCAATCCTGAAAAACATTCGGTTTGCGTTGCGAGAAAAGTTATTACAGTTTTTGTATACCGCTAGTTATGTATAAGCATAAAAATAACTTAACTTATTTTGCTGAAATTCTATTTTATAAAGTTTGAACAATTTGGATTTTTTTAATAAATTTAAAATATTGAAATCCTAAGAAATGCAATCGTAGTCATTAAAAAATTAATTTTAATTAATATATAACTTGAATAAATACTAAATTTGTAAATTTATAATGCTTTTTAATATAAATAGAATTGAATAATAAAGTAGTTAAGCAAGATTTAAATTTTAAAAATATGTTCGCTTTTAGAATTTTTGTAATAATTAATTTTTTATAATTCAACTTTTGTAAAGAGCACAATGGAAGCCAAAACACTGGGACCTTATTTTGTTAAGAAGGTTCTGGGCATCGGCACTTTTGGGAAGGTACTAAGATTGCTTGGGCCCCTTTCTACCTTTCTGCTTCTATTTATGAACGCGTGGTAGCACTCTTTTTAATGGGTGCATTTAAGATTATTTTGGCCGATCTTAGTTAACTTTTTGTTTGCTTTTGTTAAATCAACCAAATTGACGGATGTGTCAATTAACGTTTTGGGTAGTAAAGATAAGCGCTTTACAAAGAAATTATTCAGTTATACTTCTAGATTGATAATATTTTAAAGCCTTTTTTTATTGGTGGATATTTTTATATAAAATATTCAACTTTAAATTTGCAGGTTTTTGTTATAATATGACTGGCAAGTAAAAATTACTATATTTGGATTGGTTAAAAAATTTGTTATCATATTTTATTTGCTTTTTTATAAATGTATTTTTGATCTTCTTGAGCGCCTCTCTAATATTTATTTGTTTGGCGCATATAACGAACTTTAACTCGGATTGACTGAACTATTTTAATAGAATTTTTTTGTGTTAAAAATTTATTGTTCTCCTTAGTTGATGTTTAACTTTTTAAGAATCACTTTAAAAAAAATTGGATTTGTTTATAATAGCTACTTTAACTCGGATCTTTGTAATTTGGGCTATCTAATAAATTTGATAAATGGAATCTCCGATCTTCATATGTATTACTTATACAAGAGTGATCAAAATATGAATATTTTTCTTTTTTCGGCTTTGTAACAATTTGATTGGGGAATAATGAAATATAAACTAGGATTTACTAAAAAATTTAATAAATATTTTTTCTTCAATCGTTAATTTAAAAATGCTGATTTGTGAACAATGTAATATGTAACTTGGATTGGCTAAAAATTTTAATTTATTGCTTATATAAAAGATATTTTTAATTTTTTTTTAAAATTTTTTTAATTTATTTGATTGGGGCATAATAACTTTACTGGATTGGCTGGAAAAAATTAGTTTCCATATTTTTATTCCTTATAATTTTTTTTATAAATGGTGTTCCATACCTTTTTTAAAGGGTTTTTTAAAAGTTGATTGGCACACAGTAAATATATTAACTCAGATTTGCTAAAAATCTTTTATTTCCGATTTTTATTGGTCATAATCTTTTTTAAAGCGTTTTAAATAATTTAATTGGTGCATTTTGATATGCTTACTTTCATTGGCTAAATGATTTAAATATCAAATATTTACTATTTTAAATTTAATAAATATTATATATATATATTTTATTAATTAAATTTTAAAAAGTTTTATTGTTTTCTAAATATTATTTTTTGGTACTATTGTGGACTAAAAGCGACCGCCAATTTTGACATTTGCTTAGATGCTACGTGACAATCGAATAACGAGCATATTTTTGTTTTGTTCACTAAAATTGTTAGAGTCAAAATATAAATTTGTTGAACATTCATAAAAATAAAGTACAATCACATTACGTGGCCTTTAATTTATATAAATAATGTTCTTTGGCTATATATATATAGTTTTGTTTTTCTTCAATTGTCCTATAGTTAAAACTTCTAGATCACTACTCTTTGCGCGTTAAAATATCAACCAATAACGTTATATGCATCCTATATTCAGGTCAAACTGGCAGCCCACAGACTCAGTAAAGAGCAGGTGGCCATCAAAATGGTCAGCCACCATTCGGCCGCTCTTATCGAAAGCAACGAGAAGGAAATTGCTATATTAGAGGTGCACTATTATTATTATTATTATTATTATTATTATTATTATTATTATTATTATTAGTCTTTGCATCATCCTTTTATTATTGGCGTAAAGGAAGTCATACAAACTCGCAAATATATGTGTATTGTTCTGGAATATGCCGAGAACGGTGACTTGTTGGATGTAAATACTATTATTATATTTATATGTAAATTTTTAAAACTACGTATTTATTATTATAAAAGTACGCATATATAGAAAAATAGTTGAAATATAGCATTAAAGTTTATTATTATTATTGTAATGTAATAGTATATATGTATAAAAGTTTATTATAGTTTATTATTATTATAGAAGATTTAGAAAAGATTATTACTTTTGAATATAATAGTAATAAAAGTTTATTATCAACTATTATTTTTATTAATATCATAAACGTGTAATGAAATATATAAAAAATTGTAATATTTTTAATAAAAAATATAATAATAATTTTTTATATTCTAAAAAAAATAGTATGAAAAGTTTATTCTTATTACTATTATAATAGTAATTATTATATTTAAAAAAAGTATTATTACATAAAAATAATAACAGTTTACTATTATTGTAAGGATTTATGAAATATATTACAAACATATAAAATACTTTAAGAACTTTTGAAATAATGTAACTTTATTATTATTATTACTACTCTTATTATAATTATTATTTCAAAAATGTTATATTTATTATATTAATTTATATATAAGTTTGTTTTGAAATAAAAATAAATGTTTTCATATATTATTATTTTTATAAAAGTTATTAAAAAAATATTATAAAATAGAATATAAGTTTATATAAATGTGCTCATAAATATACATAAATAGAGTTTGTTATTATTTTATAACTAAAACTAAAAGTCTTGTAAGTATTAATGAGTAAAGTATAATAAAAAATTGTTAAATAATAAAGTAAAATGCGAAGTTTTATATAAAACTTTAGTATTAACAACTTGAGAAAAGCGTGAATTTTGTATTATATAAAAGTAATAATAATAATAATAGAGTAGTAACTTTAAGTCGTGCAAAAGGAACTTTATATAAAACTTTTTTTTACGTATTATATATGTTTGTTAATATTTCATTAAAAAGTCATTAATATAATTATTTTTTAATAAAAAGTATATAAATGCTAAATGGGATAGAAAACTTTCTGAGCCAGAAGTGAAAAGGTGTTATGTTATTATTATTATTTATTATATTATTATTATAATTTAGATTCTTCTTTCAAATTTGTTGTGGAGTTTCGTACTTGCACGATAATAATATTGTTCATCGCGATTTGAAAGTAAAATGATTATATTTTTATGCAAAACTTTTATTATTATTGTTGTAATTAATAATAATGCAGCCGAATAATATTTTACTTGATGAAAAGTTTAACTGCAAAATATCGGATTTTGGTCTTTCAAAAAAAAGTATTGAAAAATATTAGTCTATACACGAAAACTTTTTTCGCCTTAATAATTGACAGCCAACCAGCGACATTTAAATAATAAAAATAATACTAAAATTGAAGAAAATTTTTTAAGTTTGCACGAGTTAAATCTTTTCGCCTTGTGTTGATGCTGATTGGCTACTTAAGAATTATGACAACTAATCAGAGGCGCACTACATTTTTCTATTTATTCTTAATATTTGGATTTGTGCAGGCGGAGACGTTAATAACATGACTACTGCTTGCGGCTCGCCTATTTACGCTGCTCCCGAGCTTCTTTCCAAAGTTTACAATTATTGCTATTCTTATTATTGCTATTATATTTACTTTATTATTTATTATATTTCTTTTTATAACATTACAATTTAACATAAATTTTATAATTGTTTATATTGTTATCTTTTTACTATTTACTTTTTTTCAATATTAATATTAATTATATGTAAATATTATAATTAATTTATTTTTTTTATGTTAATATTCCTATATTATTATAACTTAACAATTTCTTAACATTTATTTTTTATATTATTTTTTATTATTTTTATTATATATTATTTTTTTGGATATCCAAATCTATTTTTATATGTTATTTCTTAACATTTATATTGTTTACTATATATTTTTTCTTTTCTTCTTTATGTATTATTTATTGCTATTTAATTATTATTATTGTACATTATCATATATTATCTATGATATTATTATATCATAGACAATTATCATTTATATTATCTATATTTCCTTATTCATTTATATTTTTACTTATATACTAATATTTTATTATTTTCTATTATTTATTTAAATTATAATTTTTATAAATATTTATATGATTATTGAACAGTATTATTTCTATTATTTTAATATAAAATTTTTCTGTTATTTTTATTATTATTTATCATTCATTCTTATATTCTTTTTCATATTATTTATTAATATCATTTATTATAAATATTGTTGTCTTAATTTTATATTATTTTAGTAAAATTATTGCATTTTTATTATATTTGTTATATTTATTTACTATTTTTTATTTTTTATTTTTTAAAATTATTTCTTAATAATTTTTTTCTTAATTATTTTTTAATAAATATTAATACTTTTGTATTATTTTTGATATGTAATACTTATTTATTATGATATACGTTTTATGTATAAATTTTTTTTGTATTTACTTATGAATCTATATTATTACTATTATTATTTTTATTCGTATTATTTTTATTATTTATTATTTATTTCTGTAAATATATATTATCATTATTAACTTTATATAGACTTAATATTTTTTAGTATTATTATTATTAACTTGTATATATTATTTTTTGTATTGTTATTTATATTAATATTATCTATTGTTAATATATTTATTAATATTATATATTGTAAATTTTTAAAGTATATATATTATAATTTTCTATCATTTATTTAGTTCTATAAATATATATTATTATTGTTAACTTTGATTATTTTTTTTATGTATTTTATTATTTATAATGTATCTATTAATATTTTTGTCTAAAAATATATTTTGGAAATTTTTATTATTATTACTAATTATTTATTTTTTATTTCTATAAAAATGTATTATTATTATTAAACTTTTATATATATAATTTTTTTTTATGTTATTATTTATAGTTATATACTTTAGTACTTTCTATTATTTATCAATATTTTTTATAAATATATATTAGTATTACTGACTTAAATATATGTTTTCTTAATTTTTCTATAGTATTGTTATTATTATTAACTTTTATATATTATTTTTTTCGTATTATTATTTATATTAATACCAATTGTATTTTTTGAATGTTATTTAGTATTATTATTTATTAATTATTTCTATCAAAATAATTATTATTATTAACTTTATATATATATTGTGTTATTGTTTATATTAATATTATTTATTATTAATTGTTTACTATTACTGTTTATTAATATATATTTAATTTATAATTATTATTATTATAAATTTATTTTTATTATTATTATTTTTCTTTCAAGATATATAATTATTCTTAAATTAATTTTTTGTATTATTATTTATCATTAAGTTGTATTTTTTATTTTTTGTTATTATTTCTTATTAATATTTATTATTTATTTCAATTAGGATGTATTATTATTTATATATTTTGTGTATTATTAGTCTATTACTACTATTTTTATTTATTTATTATTATTTTTTATTAAAATATATTATAAATTTATTGTTATTATTATCTATTTTCTATCAGAATATATATTTATATTTACGTTTTTGGTATTATTATTAAATTATTATATTTATAATAGTTTGTTATTACTTTTATTATTATTATTTATCATTTCATATTTATTTTTATCAAAATGTATAATTATTTTTAATATTATTATTGTTAATATTATTTTTTAGAACTTTTACGGTCCTTCAGTGGATATATGGAGCATCGGAGTGATTTTGTATAACTTATTGTTCGGGAAAATGCCTTTTGATTTGGACACAGTAAAATTTTATAATTATTATCATTATTTTTTTTTTTATAAAATTCCTTTGAAGCGCAGAAAATAATTATTACTTTTTTATGAAAGGAAGAAATAAAAAATTGTTATAACGAAAAATTAGAAAAAACCTTTTTATTTTTATTATTATTATTATATTTTTTATATAAACTTTCTTGAAGCGAAGAAAATATTATTATAGTTAACTTTTGTATATGAGAACATTATTTTTTATATTTTTATATACAGAAAACTTTTTTTTTCAACTGCAAAATATAATTAATATAATAGTAGTAGTAATAATTTTTGAAGCACAAAAAATAAAATTAAAAAAAATTCATGAACCAAAAATTTTTTATATACAAACTTTTAGTGAAGCACATAAGATAATAATAATGAACTTTTTATTAAAAAACACTTAATATTATATATTTTTTTATTTTTATATATTTTTTGTAATAAAAACTTTTTATTATTATTATTTTTTGGAAGATATAAAACTTTTTATATCATACTTTTATTATAAAATTTCTTTATTATTATTATAATTATTTTTTATATTCATAATTTTTATGAAGCGCAAAACTTTTTTTTATTTATTATTATTGTTTACATATTTTTATATGAAAACTTTATTTTAAGTATTTTATAATATTTATAGGTTTTATTTCTTATATATTTTATATGTATTATTGTCTCTTATATTTTTTATAAATATATTAAATATACAATTTTTTTTTATTATTTTTCATATATTTTTTATAAATATATTAAAATATTTATATTTATTATTTCTTATATATATTTTTTAATTATACTAAATATTTATATTTATTATTACTCATCAATAAATATATTTTGAATTGTTATTATTATTAGAACTTGAGCGTTCACGTTATATATATGCGAATACTGAAAGTAAGAACTCTCAAAGTCCCTTCGAACATGCGAGTATCAGGTTTATTATTATCATTATATTTATTACTATTATACTTAATAATATATATGGAAATATAGGAGAGTTGCTTGACTTACTACGCCGGATGCTCTGCATTGATCCTGAAAAAAGAATATCTATTAATGAAATTCTTGATCACGAGTATATTACTAATAATAATATTAAAAAAGATTGTAAAAGTATAATAAAAATATAATATTTCATTATTTATTATAATGAATAATACAAATAAAAAATATATAGTCACGTGGTATAAAAATAATATAAATATTAATATTTACTATATAAAGTTATAAAATTAATGATAATAATTATATATAATACTGAGACAGAGCAGCCATATTTTATAATATAAATAATAATAATAATTGAAATATAAATATTAAAAATAATAATAACAATACTTATACTATAACTCTATCCATAATAATAATAAGCGTCCTGCGAAAAGAAGTTCTTTACTATCAAAAAACTTACGGAAACGAGTATTCTAAAAATATCGATAAAACATTCTTTTTTGATTTGGCTAAAAATGTTGGGGAAAAAGTCCTGAAAATTTATGAAGGTTTTTTTTCCTTAAATACTTTGGGATGGGTATGATTAGCCAATGGATGAGCAGAACTCGAGCTGGAAGGTGCTTCTGATTGGGTGCTTTTTTCTTCCGATTCAAAAACTTCCGTGCGTTTCATGTTTTTTATTTTTACTATAAAAAAGTTTATTTTTTTTTTGTATTTTTACTTAATATTATTGTAAAGTTTTATATTTTATGTTTTATGAATTTTTTTATTTACATTTTTTGTTTACTTTATTTAAAGAAGTCTTTATTATATGTATTTTTCAAAATTTTATTTATATATATATTTTTTCTTTTTAGTTAAAGTAAATAATATTTATGCATTTTTACTTTTTCCTATTAAAAAGTTTTAAAACTATTTTTTATATCTTTTTGTACTTTGTTATTTATTTTTTTTAAATTTTACTTTTATATATAAAGTTTTTATTTTTTTATAAAAGTTATTTATTTATATATATATGAAAAAGTTTATCTCTATATTTTTACTATTTTTTTGTTGTAAATTTTTGTTTTTCTTTATACTTTATTACTTTATTATATATTTATTAGACATTTTACTTTTATTATACATAAAGTTTTCTATATTTTTTTACTATTTTTAATGTCTAAAAAGTTTTCTATTTACATTTATATACTATATTTATTTTTAAAATTTCTACTATTTATTATTTATTAAGTTTTTATTATTATAAAAGTTTATATATACTTTACTAAAGTGTTTATTATTCCTTGTTTATATTTATTTTTTATGAGTTTTTATTTTTTTATATTTTGTATATATAAAATACTTTTATTATATAATAATATTTATCATTTATATATTTTTTACTTTATTAGAAGTTTTTATTTTTTTATTGTAAAGTTTTGTATATTTTTGGATTAATAAATTTTTAATATTTTTTTTTACTTTTTTATATATTTTTAAATATAAATTTTACTTTATTATATATATAGTTTATATATATTTTTATTATATTTTTTATATAAAAGTGTTTACTATGTATATTTAAAAAATGTTACATATATATTTTTATTTTTTATTATTCATATATATAAATATTATGGTGAAAACTATTATTATCCTTTTTTCTAGATAAAAGTTTACTTCCCTTACGGAGAGCCGCAGCCTCGCAGGCTCCGCTTTTGCGCGTCGATGAAACTTTATTGTGATTTGTTGTTTTTAAAAAAACAATTTTCTAATTGGTGCAGGTTTTGTGTATTAATTTTTTATTGGTTAACTAATTCTTTATTTTTTGCGAAAAACTTTTTTAGAATTTACGATCAAATATTCACAATAACCGAAAAAGTTTCTGTTTTGGATGAAAATTCGTATATTTTTAGGTGATTTTTATTTTTATTTATTATTATTATAAAATATTATTAATAAATATCTTTTACCTTTCACTAGTATTGTTATATTATTACTTGGACTTTTGCTACTTATTTATTATTATTATTGCAAAAATATTATAATTATTATATTAAATAATATTTCTTTTATTATTTATTTATTATTATTATAATTTTATTAATAATATTTCTTTTACTATTCATTATTATTATTATTATTATTATAAAAGTACTATTTAAAATAAATATATATAATCCGTTATTATTATATTAATTATTTTTCTTTAATTATTTATTTACATTATTATAGAGATATAATAAATAATATTGCTTTTACTATTTATTAATTATTATTATGAAAAAATTATTATAATATTACCATTATTTATTATTATTTTTGTTAATATATACTCAATAATATTTATTTACTATTAATTTATTTACTATTATTAAAGAAATACATTTTAATATTTTTTACTATTAACTATTAAATATTATTATATCTCTTTTACTATTTATTATTATTTATTGTTTATATTTACTTTATTAAAATATTATTTATGTTTTCTTTTTATTTATTTACTATTTATTATTTATATATATTTCATGATTAATATATATTAGATATAGAAATATCCATTATTTTTATTATAATAATAACTCTTTTACTTATTACTATTGTTAATATTTATTTTTATACTTTTTATTATTATTATAATATTACTATTTATTATTTTACTTATTTTTTATTATAATTAGATTTACTGTTAATTTTTATTTACATTCTATTATTATTATATTTATTAAATTTTATTATAACCTGTTATTAATAAAAAATAATTTCTTTGCTTATTATTACTTTATATATATTTATTATAAACTTTACTACTATTTATTCTAATTATTATCATCTTTTGCTATAACGTATTACTATTATTAATATTTATTTACTAATACTATTATTTACTTATTATCCTTATTAATATATTATTAATATTATCATGATTATAATCTTTTATTATTATTACTATTATTTACTTTAGAAGTTATTATTATTTAATATTTTGCAATCTAATATTATTATCTTTTATTATACTTTTTATTATTTATATTAATATTTATTAATATATCATATTACTATTTACTTTAAAAGTTATTTACTACATATTATACTTTTACCTTTTTCATTATTTATATTATTATTTCTTATTATAAGCTTTCCTATTATTATTATTTATTATTATTATTATTTACTTAAGAAGTTATATTATTTTTTATTGTTATTATTTTGTATTAAATATTATATTGTTATTATCTTTTATTATTATTTAGTTTCGATATTATTATTTATATAAAAGGTATTTAATATTACGTATTATTATATATTATTGTTTATTATAATAAATATTATTTTTTTATATATATCAAAACATATGTATTATATATTATATTTGTTGTTATAATCTTTTATTATTATTTTCTATTAAAAGTTATGTTTTACATATTATTACCTACTTAAAAGTTAATGTTTTGCATTTATTATTATATTTTTACTATTATTAATATTTACTTCGATATTATTATATATTATTTTTTATATTCGTTATTTTTATTTTTTACTATTATTATTATCTATACTAGAAGTTACGAGAATCCTCAAAGTATTATGGAACGTTCGACGTTCAGTACTGTCACTTTACTTTCTCGTTCTGAACAAGTTTTCAATACTTTTTATTTTTATTAATATTTATAAAAATTTTTACATTTTTTTTATTTTATATTTTTATTTATAAAAAAAAATAATAAAACAAACTTTAAATACTTTTTAAATTTACTAAAGCACTTTAAGAAAATATTATAAGCAATATTAATAAAATTATCATTTTTATACTATTAATAAACTTTTTTATATTATTTATTTATTTTTATAATACTGAAGATATTATTTTTTATATTTATTATAACGGAAATAGAAAATATTATAAATAGTAATAAATAAAAGTTGAACTAAAACTTGGGTGTAAAATTCTTATATTATTAGTACTAAACAAGAAAATTTTTATGAAAATTTTTATCCTTTTTGTACATTTTAATAAATTTGCTATAATATTTATTATTTTTATTATATTTTAATACTAGAAAATTTTGATAAAAAAATTTTTTATATTTATTTTAGATTTATTACTACTGAATAAGAAAACAATGGAAGCAATAATACTATTTTCTACATTTTTCTATTATATTATACAACAGTTCCACTTTTTAATATATTTTTGATCTCAAAAAAAATATTATTTAGTATTTCCTAATAATATCTAAAAGTTTCAGTTTTTATATTTTTATTTTAATAAGGGGGATAATATATAATTGTTGTTATAAATGATAGTAAAGTATTTTATATTGTTATTATTTATAGAATCTTTTTTTACTATCAATATTAATATAAATATAATAAAGTTTTATATATTATTATTCATAAAAACTTTTTTTTATATAAATATTATTACCAATAGTAATGTACATATTGATTATTGTTTAGAGACTTTGTAGACATAAAGAAGTTCTTGTTTATATTATTCATTCAGTATCAACTTCGTTATCTCCTTTACCTGAGAATATGCATTTGGCTGAAGTATTCATATTTCTCACTTTTCTATACTTTTATTAAAAAGTTCATTAAAATTTGTAAATTCCCAAATTTTTTATTTGCAGGTCACCAATAGCGGTTTTGTATTTCAGCCAATGGAAGATAATGTGACGCTTTGCACGTTTATTTATGACGTATTTTATTATTATTATTATTACTATTACTAATTATTATTATTACTATATTAATTATTATTTATAAAAGTTAAAGTTTTATGGCGAAATCTCCGACGATGAACTATCATTAATGAAAAAGATGATTCCCACAAGGACCATGAAAAGGTGAAGTTCTTAATAATAATAATAATAGAATATTAATTTCAAATTATATAATTCCTCTTAGGAAGTTTACAGTTAAAATTATTTATTATTATTGACTATTGTTTAATAAAAAGTAATATTTATATAAATATGTTAATATTTTTATCTTAATTTATTTTTTTAAAATTTTCTAAATTTATAAAGTTTATTAACTTTTCATTGAACTTTTTGTTAAAATTTTAAATTTTTCTATTAGAATTTACTCCCACACCAAAGAACTTGCCGATCTCGCTGGGAAAAATAAATTTCATACACTAGTCACACTCAGCGGCCCCTAAATATAATGAAATTTAAATTTAATAAATTTATACTTATTATAGATTAAAATATATATATATATTTTTTTATAAAAATTCATATTTATTAATTTTATAAATATTATTATAGAATTAAATAAGTGTCATCCATTAATTTATTGGATTAGCAGATCTATTAAAACTTCTGGTCAATAACACAATTTAATTCTGTACGTCTAAAAAAAAATCTATCATAAATAAAAATAAATTAAAGCATTACGATTTAAGCAAACAAGAAAATAATTCAATTTTGTAAGAAGTTGCGCTAAAAAAATACTTTTTTCTATTAATACATAAAAATCCTTGAGAAAAATTTGGGTTGCACGATTTCTTTTTAATTCTTTGAATTGAAAGAAATTATTAGAGTAACGGGAAGGTTTGTATTTTTTCGTTGAAGTGGTAAAGTCATTTAAAATTATATTAATTGCGTGGAAGGTGAAGGTGCTTAAAAACATTTATGAGTTGCGCGGAAGTATTTTATAGTTTTCATTAACATTGCACTTAATATACTAAAAATTACTTGAGTTGCGCAAAAAGATACTTTTTTTAAATAGTATTACAAGAAAGTGAGAGTGCTTCAAATCTGTCTTGAGTCGCGCAAAAGTGGTCGAAAGTATTTATGAGTTGTGCAAAAATTTACTTTTTTTTAGTAAAGATTTTAAGGAGTTTCTCGAATATTTTTTATATATATAAAAATATTACAAGAAAGTGAAAGTGCTTCAAGTTGTATCTGAGTAGGGCAAAAAAAAATGTTACTATATTTAATAATACCTTAAAGTTATCGAACACTAATTAGAGTTGCTCAAAATTTTACTATTCTATATCCTTATACCTTAAAAAGATTGATAATATTTATGAGTTGCGCATTAAAATTATTTAAGAGTACAAGTAGTAACTTCTTTATTTTTAATTTTTTTTTTTTTTACGTTTAAAATGCCTAAAATTATTTTTGCGTAGCGCAAAAATTTACTTTTTTAAATATATTCCAGTGAAGTGAAAATTTATTTTACTATAATGTTAAAGTGATTAAAAATTATTTGAGTCGCTTGAATTTTTTTGTTATAAATATAACAAAATGTTGAAAGTGAAAGTTGCTTAAAATTTTTTTTAATTGCCCAAAAATTTGGTGTATTATATTAATATTACGTTAAAATGATTAAAATTATTTGAGTTGCGTAAAAGAATACTTTTTTAAACTTATATTACCTGAATGTGAAGGTATTAGCGTTATGTATGAAGGTTGCGCAAAAATTGGTTTTTTATTATTAAATAAAAGTACTTAACATTATTTATTTGTCGTGGAAAAATTTACTATTTTACAAACATTTTTGCAAAAACTAACTTTTTTTTTATATTAATTTTAAAAGTGCTTGAAATTAGTTTTGTGTAGCGCAAAAATTTTCTTTTTATAATTTAAATATCATTAATATAGAAAGCAATAGAATCTATTTACAAGTTGCCCAAAAATTTACTATTTTTATTAATATTGCATTAAAGTGAATTTGAGTTTTATGAAAACTTGTTGTTACTAATACTGCATCAACGTGTTAAAATTCATTATATAATTGCTATGTTTGCGCATTGACTATTTCTAATAGTAAGGCTTCTTATACCATATAAATACATACATTGTTAACCTCGTTACTAAATTGTATTATCTGCACGTCTTTTTTTTTTTTGGATGCTGTAAAAACTTTACCATATTCTAATTTTTTTTTTTTAAAACTCTTAAGTCAAGCGAATTTTATTAAAGAATCGTTTTTAATAGTTACTTATGTATAAAGTTTATAGTTTACCTTTAAAGAATTTTTATAAAATAATAAAAAAGAGAATAACGACTACAGCTTATTTTTTTTAATATTATATTTTATAAACACGTAACAAATTTATAAAAAAATTTATTTTCACTTCGTTATGTTTAAAAAGATTTTTTTTTACATAAACTTATGGTTTTGTGATTGTGTTGTTACCAGAAATAGTTACCCTTTGACTTTTCCTTATTACAATAATACAAGCAGTTTACATTTGTATTTCGCCTGTTCCTATATAAATTGAACTTTAATAAACATTTTAAAAAATTTTATGATAACTTATGGAGAGGATAAGAACAATGAATAGAGCTGACTTTTTATATATATATTTTATATATTTATCCAACGTAGAAATTTTCAACTCTTTTTCGTTTAAGGTTACTTTCAGAGAATGGTCTTATTTCTTTGCACAAATTTATTGACTTTTTAAGTATGTTGTTAAAGATTTCTTATTATTACTCAGAAAGAGTTTCTAAATTATTAGATGTAATGAGCATTTGTACAATTACAACTCGCTTTTGTCTATATAAAGTGGACCATTGTAATAATACAACCTTTAAAGTTATTTTAAAAAAGGGACTGACAATGTATACAGCCTATTCAAGTAATTCAATAATAAACTATCGATACTGTTGTGTGCCTCGGTGTTATTGTTTGAAATTACTTTTTTATTAATTCACTTGAAAAGAGTTATTCTTATTCTTTTTTGACATACTTTTAGCTACACGATTTATTGATTTAAGAACAAATTGTTACGGAAAGTTGATACTTGATAGCGTTTTTTTATAATTAAATAAAACATTTATAATTGCAGTTCGTCCTTTTCTCTAAAAAATTTCTTTTTTAAGCCACTACTGCAATGATTAGGACACTTCCTTTTTAATCTCGATTCGCTAAATAGAGTTTCTATCTTTTTTAAATTTATCGCTCCTTCATAGCTGTGTTCTCGAGTCAGTTTAACCTCTATAAAAGTTTACAGATATCAGTTTGAATATCCGAAATACACGAGATCAGTCCTCCGCTATCATTAGGACGGTTCTTTTCTCAAATACTGGCTTTAATAAACTGATAACATCAGCCGTTAAATCTTGGTTTTGGGCGGACAAGTAAGCAGTGGCTAGGGTTACCTCCAGGAGCATAAATAATCCTGTTTAAAGAAGAATAATTAGGAAATTATTCCATATCTAACTGTACTAATGGTTGGTACGCTCTCAATATAATAACTAACACTATTTCGTATAGCGCTCGAACATAGAATCATACTTAAGTCCATCTATATATGAGAAGTTACCATTTTTACAGTTAGCCAAGATACCTTAGCCGAATACTATATTTTTATAATAGGATCATACAACTTAAGTACAATTTTATATAATAACACTACTACATAGAGTAGCAGTTTCCAACTAGTCCTTCACCGCCGAGATTAGGCGGCAAAAAGTGTTAGTTAGCATCACTCATTGAAGCCTTTTCGTGATTTTTCAAATTTTTTAAGAGTGCAATACACCCACGCGCGATAGGCTACTTGGTCGCATAGGTTTAAGTGCGACGTGGGGGGCGGTGCGTCTCGATGATAGCGCATAAATTGTCCACGAAATGCAGTACATGCATAACTTATTCATTTCAGTTATGTTCAGTTAGCTTCGACGGACTTGTTTAGTCATGGTCTAAAAAGAAAACGATTAAATAGGCAAAGCAGCTAGTATATCAACAACAGCTAGTTTTTTAATAAAATATTGACCCTCCCGGCGCCCCCTCATGAAACAGCACCATTACTTTGTCAAGTGAAACTATACTTATAAGATACTACCTATAAGGTATTTAGAGCCCCGAGCAGAAGGAATCTAGCACCGCCTAAAGGTCTTTTTCTGCTCTAGTTTTTACTAGTTTTAAGAGCATTTTTTATTAACTTTAAGACGCTCCTTGGTCTAAGTCAATGCTGATAATTTTTCTTCGAAAGCGAGGTGCCCATTTCAAAGCTCGCAGTGTTTAAGTATTTCTTTAAAGGCCAGACAGATATTTATGTTTTACCTAAAGTTAAAGGAAGCAGGCCGCCATAGAGGGTTGCTAAGGGAGAACCTAACTATAAATGATAACTTCCTAACGCTGTATTCCCACAACGTTAGGGATACGTCACTTTGTGACTAAGTAAAAAAGAGAGAACATCTTTCGACTTCGTCCGCAACTATTCCCGAAAAGATATAAAATTTTAAAAACTTAGCCTTAGACTCCACAACGTGCAAGGATATGTGGGATATCAATGTAAAGAGATTGGAGGTCAAAGTGCAGGCAGTACAGTAGTAAATCATCAGCAGAAACTAGACGAGTGATATTCCTGTATGCTCCCTATCTTGTGCATTTGAGGCTTGACTTTCTTATGACCATTTTATCAAAGGAGCCATGCTCATGGTACCTACCTGAGAGAGGATAAGGGTTTATAGTGAAGGGGTATAACTTTATTCTTCATAGTAAATTCATTGGTTCCATTCCATTGTAAGCAAAGCTGCCAAGGGGAAAAGCACTTCTCTTTAAACCTTTCCTACTCCCTTCTGCGCTTTGGTCACTAATCTTTTTACGCTGATCCCACAGATCCTTGGACTTTGTGAAGTCTGAGCTAAGTTATAATAGTTTTGCCTCTTTTACTGAATAGTTGCGGACGAATGCAAAGGATGTACTGGAATTTTTTTAGCTAAGAGCTTGAATAATGAGTGGTGCTTAAATAGCACTGTTGATCTTAATTCGAAAGGTTAATAAACTAGTTAAAACTAATTCTGTTATAAAATTGCTACTCTATATTATTTCTTTGTATCTTAATGGGAGAAACCCGCGCGGTACTTCAACAGTTAGTTGTGACTAGCTATTTAGTGCTTGCTTCTTATTAACGATGCAGTATTGGTTTAGAGGAATATAAAGTACACTAATACAATAGCGCTATACTCTGTATATAGATATAAGCGGTACGGCAAGTAGCTGCTCTAGCACGTAGGCATATTTGTATAATATGGATTATCTCTGTACTTTCTTTAAGTCTCCCGTGGTAGAACTTAGATACCAAGGTGGAAAAACTTTTTGAAAATTTAAACTAAAATAGAAGAGAGAAACTAGTGGTCAATCATCATTTTAGCAAGTAATCTTGGTTCTCCTTTTTGATTTATCGAGCATTAGATGAAATCAATACCTGTTCCCTCCATCCTCCCCAACTAGTGACTAATTGCTCTGAAGACCATTAACTAAGTTAGAGATAACTTCCAAGGCTGCTTTAGTGAGTGGGTATGACTTGGTACTAGGCTTTAATATAATTGTAGTAGGATTCGGTACTCTGCACTGTGACAGAATTACCTCGGAGTAAATACTACTAATCAACGCCATCGATTTAATCGCTTTGTTCATCCTGGACTAAGTTAGATATTGTTTTAACAAACAATACCGCGTGTTATTAGTAATCTTTTAGATAACTATTTGAGTTTAATTTTGTTCTTTGTTTGGTTTTGACTTGAAGTTTTAATACTAAGCCCTGCAGACTAAAATGAATAACCAAAAGGCAGGAAAGCGTGAAATAGGAGGAAAATCCCATAAATCTTTTAATAAGTGTGCATGTATATATATATATATGGTCCACTAGTGCAATATCATACATTTTTAGATCAAATTGTATTAATTAATTACTTTTCAGTCTTTTATTAAAAAAATGCAACATAGCAATTTTACTAGTGTTTTAAGCCTTCGAGCGGGCGGGCCCCACATCACCACTTCCCGAAATTTAATAATTTTTTTTTTCCACAGAGAATTTTGGTAAATGTATCCGCTAACATATATTCACTTTTACAATTACGTATTTTTCGCAGTGCCTTCAGCTATGCTTCCTTAACGTAATCGGATATTTCAAAATGAGGTGACTAGAGAGCTTGCTTCCGTTTGCACTCATGGCTATGCGCATTGCTGATTGATTATTCGCGTTTACTATAAATTTTCCAAAGGGCATATTTAAATCTATTAGTAAGCTATACAGTCATTTAACCTATCGTAAGCACGATGCTAAGGCGATATACTCGACCTCTGCAAAGGTCAGACTATAACACTGTGCTGTTTCGATCCCAACTATGGAGCAATCAGTTGTACATATGAGTATTCCAATACCCCCCTTATATTATACACAGAGGCATAGCCTATATCTGAATATATAGCAATTTTATGCATTTGTGTCTTCTAGCTGCTAATTTCAAGGTGCTGGCCCAGCTTAAGTACCTTAGAATTCGTCTGATTGCGCACCAGTGACTTTCATCATAAGAGTTAAGTGTTGGGTACGCGTTCAATGCATTAGCTATAACGGGCCCTGTCGTATTCGCCTAAATACTGAAGTGACCCTACGATTTCGTTATAAGGGCAGCTATAGGAAAAGTCTTTGAAGGGGTGAGTTGCTTAGTGGGTAAAGAGAGGTTTTGCCTTTGTAAGTCCCAAGCACTTTCAAAATTTTAAAGGTCATACTTTCTTGAGCAAACATAATCTTCCCGTCATCTTCTCTAATATCTCTAATACCAAGGTCCACAAAGGAATAACAGGGATTTCTTCAGGTCTCCTTGGGGTCAGGGTTGGCTGTGGTAGGTAGGAGTTTTGAGGGGTTGAATGTTTTACAAAAAATGTCATTACGCACACACTCCTATAGCTTGTTGGTCAAGCTTTGCAGATAAAATTATTGAGACAGGGTCTCATTATCAATAAAATATTTTTACAGTTGGGGAAACTCTATAAACCTATTTCTATAAGATTTTAAACCAGTTCTACAATTCTGTTATGAAAGTAATATAAATATCATTATTATCCAGTAAAGCTAAAATTAAAACTAACCATAAAGCTGAACTTCTGTAATGTATCTTATTTTTATATACAAAAATTATAGTTTTTTTATCTTTTTTTTTAATTTATTTGTAATAGGGACTTTTTCAGGTGGCCAAAGGGTAGAGTATGTAATTTTTTTTAAAAAAATTAAAATTGTAGCAATAAATGTTTCAGGCTAACCAGAAAACTCAATATATTTAATTGAACCAAATAAAAATGCGGGACTTTTTCCTTAAGGACCTCGTTTCCTACATATTCCTGCTATTGCATATTGCGTTATAGGCAGGTCGAGGAGGCACTGACAATGTCTAAAGTCGTCAGCATTAATTGCCCATGGTGGTCGGTTCTTCTATACAAATTGTGATTTACATTAAAAAATTATCTTCTTATTATTAGTATAAATATATAATAAAAACTTTATTGTTTATATAAACGTTTTATTATGCATTTATATAAATTTCATATTTATTATATTAAAGTATTTATTCCCTAACCTCTAAGTTTTCAACTTTTTTGTTTTATGAAAATCTGCTGTGCATTTAATATCTTAAAAAGTTAAAAAGTTACATCTAGTATTTAACATACCAAAAATTTATATGCTTTTATTACTTTAGGAAAAAGTAACTAAACTTCTTTTTTAGAAATGGTATCTATATTTATAAAAAGCAGCAAGAAAATTCTAAGACTGATCATTCTGTTGGTTTAGAAACTAATTTAGAGGTAAAAAAAAGTTAAAATTTTTTTATTGCACTTTATTGTAAGTAAAGTAATAGATTTTGTTTTTTGTTAAATTTTTTAGTCAAAAGACCTTTTTGTACAAGACCTTTTAGATAACTTTCGTACCACTTAATGGACAGTCTTTTTTTTGGCATTTGAATAATACACAGTGTACGGCACATGTAGAAATGACCGGTTTTAGAATTTTTTTTTAAACAGTCAAAAACAGTTTTTCTTCTTTTCGGCACTGGTCATTCTTTCCTTATACAAGAAATATGTTCTTTGAGGAGTTGGAGCCTCAGGTTCATCACATAAGTTTTCGAGAGTGAGGACTGATGTTTCAATAGTACCTTCATAATCATTATTCTCTTGGCATTGAAAGATGTCTTCTGAGCTTTGTCCTGCAGCTGAGATGTATTAGTGGATGTTGAGCCCCCTCTCTTTCGCCACTGGGGGCATTTAGAGATCTCGTCAAAAACTTCAAGTCCTCAGTCAAACTAAAACCCCAATCAACAATAGTTTTTGTAAGCAAACTTCCTGTTCTTTCGAGAGCAAAACTTGAACTATTTTAAAATATTTATCCCATTCTTCGTCAAGTACGTTTAAGCCAAACTTACCTAAATAACCTTTTCTTTTTTCAAGGGTAAAAGAGCTGGGATGGAAAAGAGCCGCCACTGCTAGCTAACATGAAATTTTTGTTCCTTTTTGCTCTTCTCCAAGCGTCTTTTAAGTTAATATTCAGCCTGCAAAGAAAGAAGTTGTAGCAGAAATTTTTGAATATAGGGAACATATTTTTTAAAGTCCTGGTATCTTTGCACTCCATGAGTAAACCTATTATCTTCTTTTCTGTCCCACGACACTCCTAACCTCTTTACAATTTTTTTTAAGGCGTTTTTTTGCATCTTGGAAAAGGAAACATATTTCGTGTAAAGTGGCTTCACTGGAATATAAAAATTTTTGTAGTTTTTTATTAAAATTTTTTTATCGCCTTCGAAGTCATAAAAACTAAGTCTTAAGACCAACAGGAAAGTTTTTTCAATATGATTAAGTCAATCTTTTTTTGATAGCTTGAATTTTAAAGGCCAATTTTTAATCATAGCGCTATATGAAAGCGTACCTAGAAGAACTTCTTGGTAAAGGAAAAATATTTCTGGGCCTGCATCCATAAAAAAAAAGCTTTGTTTCGGATAACTAAGCCATCTTGACAGTCGGCTGAGAGAAGAAAAGGAATCTTGTTTTATATATTTTAGAATTATAGCTAAAATCTTATCTACTATCAAAAGCACAGCTTCTTCCAAAGGAACAAATTCTATAGTAATAATTCATTTTTACATCTTTTTTTTCTATGTATAGGTTATTATTATAGTTTATCGGCTTATAAGTGTTTTCGTAAACCTTTCATCGCTTAAAGTACTTATTTCCATTATTCGGTTCGTATCCAAAGAAGTTACAATAACTTGCTGGTGAAAACTTTTTTCAAGTTTGAGTAAATCTCTTTGGAGAAAGTGCAGGTTTACTCAGCCCTTCAACAAAATATTGTGTAAATATGATCTCTTATATAACCGAGTAACTCAGGGAAAAGCTTCTTAAGGAGAAAAATTTTTAAAGTCCCGCCAAAATTTCTTTTTAGAATATCGGCAAATTCGTTAGTTGGGCAATAGAAGGAATAGTTTGCTAGGCAAATTCAAAATAGTTCATAGCTTGCCGTGCCATAGAGCGGACTTCTACCCTGTATTCATAAGAAGGTTTCATTGGGTTTAAACTGTAGTAACCCTTCCATCCTTCGCCTCTCCTCTTCTAAAATATTAATTTCGGGTAACAGTTTAAAACCGTAATAATTGTTGAAAAGCAGACTTACAGAATAATTAGGGTAGTAATTTTTAATGACTCAAAAAAATTTAACTTTGCTATAGCAATTAATTTTATCGCAAAACAATTTTGAAAGCGTAAGACGTTTAAATATACAAAGAAATTTTATATATTATAATAACTAGCGCTTTGACAAAAAATCAGGTATAGCTATGGCATATATGGACATTAAAAAGGAGACCGTTCTCTGTAAAATAACCTCCTCTTTCGGCAAATATCTCTATCGAGGCATCCAAATTAAGGGTTTTAAACTTTTTCATATTAATATACCTATTAATCTTCAATAGTTCGAATTTAAATACAGAGGGGGAAAATCTTAGTTATCGAAACTTTGTAGAAGAGAATAGACATTTATTTTTCATTAAGTTTGCAAGTTCAATAAAACACTTTCGGTAAACTATTTCTTATCATCTTTCTTTGGCCTATAACGTAACTAAATCTTTTTCTGTGAAAAGGTTCCTTACTTTTTTTAATAATACTTTTAAATTCTTCGAAAACTTGAAATAACAGTTCAGTTTCCTGTTCAGTTACTAAACCTTCCTTTCTGCTAACATAAATAAGGTCTAAACAACCCAAATCAGTAAAAGTGGTTGCAACTAGACCAAATCTGAAATTTTTTACGAAACTTTAACTTACTTCGACCTTTTCAGGCTTGTAATTAAAAACAGAGCTTCAGATCAAAAAGCAAGATCTTAGGAAGATCCTTAAAATCGAATTCTTTTATAATTGCATCAACATTTATACTTTAATAACTAAAGTTAATACTATAAGTTTTCTGCTTCATAACTATACCGTCTGAACCCTTCTTCAATGTGTTCCATTGGCGGAAAAGCTGTCTTAGTAACTTCAATTTTTTTTTTCAAATGTTTTTTAAAGTTTAAAAAAATTCCTAAAATAATAAAATTTAAGCTTACGCTCTTTAACTTTTTTAAAAATTCATGATAGCTAACGAATTAGATATACATACAAAAGTGGTCACGCTAATACTAGAGAGGGGTTATACGGCTTTGTAGTATCTTTAACTGATCCTGTAGACAGTTATTGACAACGCTTAGTTCGGCCCTGTAGACCAAAACAATGTGTTTATCTCGTCCTATAGACAAGAAAGCTAAACATCTTTACAGCTCTATAGACTGAAAAGACGCCACAAAAAAGGAACAAGAAATATCAATTAATTTTTATTATTTTTTTAGCACTGGCAAACTGCGGCCGGTCTTCTTAAGACCTTAAGCCGCTTAATCTGATTTCCCCTCTTCAGCAGAGGTTGGAGCACGAGCGCCCACCAACGCTCCTTATAAAGCTATAATGACTGTCCGGGATGACTGAACATGCAGAAAATATCTGTCAGGAAACCGCTAAAAACCACCACAGGGAGAAGCAGCCTTAGGCACATGACCCGAGGATACCTGGAGACATCGGCCAGCACTCCTGCCACCCAGGCCTCCCCAAATATGAGCTCCTCCCTTAGAAGAGTGGAGCCCTCCATTTTGTTCGTTAAGGTTAATATGAATATATTTTATAGATATATATACAATTTAAAAATAGTTTTGATAGACTGAATCTCTTAGTTAAAATTGATTAAAACGCAGTTTATTTTATTTGACTATTCATTGTAATTGGATCATACCATCATCACTTCTTACTCGAGCTAAAGTAGAATTTCATACTTTTCAATTAAAAATAATTAGTATAGTAACAATTTTCACTAATAAAAATGGCACAAGCATTTAATAACACCAACCACGGAATGAACGAGAACGACAAGAACGGAAGTTGTTCTATTATAGGCAATCATGCCGTTCTGAACTCTTACAAAAAGGTTAGATATTTTTGTATATTATTAATTATAAGATAACAGGGACTTTTTAACCTCAGGATAGGGTAGGGTTTGTTATGTTAACTTAAAAAAATATATATTAAAACGCTAATTATCTAATAATAATAAAAATTTTAACAAAAAATTTAGATGAGTGAAGTTTTAAATATATATATATATATATAAACGTATACAAAAAAATGTTTTTTATAAAAATAAAAAATATATTATAAAAAAAATAAAACAAAGAAAAGTATTAAAAATAGAAAATCCGATAAATTTGTTTTGTAATAGCGATTAATAATAAATAATACAATAAAGTTTTATAAAAAAATTCTAAAGAAAGAATCTATAACAACAATGTTAATATAAAAAAGGAAGAAGCATTGATACTTTAAAAAAAGTTATTATGTATTGTAAAAATAAATAAAACAAAGACAAATATCAGATGGATATTTTTTAATAATAATAAATAAAAAATAATAAAATAATTATTCAAATTTTTAATGAAAGAAGTTTAAAAATTTATATATAATAAAAGTATATTATAATAATAAATATATTAAAGAATAAATTAATATTTTTACAAAAAAATTAATTTATACAGAGAAAAGTATTAAAAATATAAAAGCAGGTAAATATAATTATAAGAAATAAATAGTAGTATTCCAAAATATATTATATAAAATATATATTTAGAAAAAAATATAACATATAAAAGTAAAAAAAATTATAAAGCATTATTATTTTTTTAGTTATAAAAAAATTATAATAATAATTATTAAAATCTATTAAGTATAAAAAGTTTACTTTTTTTTGGTGACGGAAATTTATAATAAAAAATATACAAATAGAGTTTTCTTATAAATTTATTATTTAAAAATAAT